GGGATGGAATATTGAAAGTCTCTTCTCCTACATTATCTTAGTCCTTCCTATTCCTGGGAAGAAATCTTGATTTTATACACATGCTTGCTTTGTTATTACATACCAGGCATACTCTGCAGCCACTTGCTTTTTTCCTCCCTATATACTTTGGACACATTCCTCACCATTTTATGAAGATCTCTCTTTTTAACTGCTGGCTAGAGATCAAGCCCGCAGTCCTGCAGATGGTAGCCAGGAGCTCTAGAGCAGAGCTGTGCCATGAGAGGTGGTTTCCTTTTACTCTCTCATGCTTCATTATTGGTAGCATATTTAACATGTCTTTTTGATGGACTTTTAGATTGTTTATAAATAGGTATGGGATCATTAACTAATATATATCTGTCTATTGCTGAGTTCCCTCTCTGGAATGTATGTCAGTTCCATAGGAGCAATAATCTTAACTACTTTCAACACTACCTTTCATGAAAGAATTCTCAAAGTGCAAATAATGTTCTGTTGAGTGTTATTTATTTGAGGAAGGTCATGCATTTGTTGCAGTGCCTGGGGTGGAGGTCAGAGGAAAACTTGAGGGGATCTTTCTCCGTCCCCTCTGTAGGTCCCAGAGATCCAATTCAGGTCATCAGGTCATTAGTGGTTGGATATCTTTGTGTTTGTTTATTCTGTGGTTGGATGTGATATTGCATGCCTTTAGTTTTGGCACTTGAGAGACAGAAGGAGGGGAATATCTGAGTTCAGGCCAGCCAGGGTTGCATAGTGAGGCTGTATCTCAAAAAAGAGAAACAAACAAAAAGATTCGTTGTTTTAATTATGTGTATATCTATGGGTCTGTATATGAGTGTTGTCCAGGAATGCCTGTGGAAGCCAGAGGCGTCAGATCCTCTGGAGCTATAATTACAAGCAATTGTGAGCTGCCTGATGTGGGTGCTGACAATTGAACTTGGGTCTTTTCCAAGAGCATTTGTACTTTTCTTAATGGCTGAGCCTTCTCTTTGGCCTTCATATATTTTTTTAATAATTAGTACCAAGTTGTCCGATTACAGTGTGAATTTTTTTAACCTCCACACTGTAATTCAATGTCCAGTTTTCATCATGTCTAACTCTGAAATGAGCCCCCCCCCCTTTTTTTTTTTTTTTTT